AAAGAAAAGCGACAGAACACTGTGATGGACCAACAACACCCAAAAAAGTAAATACACAGGTAGACTGACCAAGAAGGTGAAGACCCTGGAGGGTAACACACACGGTATTGGGAAGAGGCGGGGCCAGGACCTATAACTCAGCCCCTGCAACCACAAATAGGTGAGTACACAAAAGTAGGAAATACCCGGTGTGAGTTACGTCAGCGCCACACCTACGTTCACCCAGCCATGCTGAACAACAACATCTGCATGGAGACTGCAACCTTCTTTCCGACTCTCTCTTACAAATGCACGATACCAGATACAGTTTCTCAGTTACTCTTACATCACCTATCTCAAACAGCTACTCTGGCAGATGAAGGTAGACGCAATGAGTACGACAACAAAGGAAACACACGTTTTGTAGTACGCTGTGGTTCTGGAACCTAAAATGTACAACAGCGATAGTCTGATGGTGGGTAACTGTAGTGGTGGTGTTGGTCGGGTGGTGACTAAGCAACATGTACTCTGGTACTGGCCTAGCGGTGGCCAGACTGCATGCACTCTGGTGCTGACCTCAACAATCTGCTGCTGTAGTTCAGTCACTCAACATAGTGAGTGTAGTGACCTGTCTACTTTATATCCAAGTATGACTTATTGCTACCTGTCTCCCACTGATGGTTATTCCTCCTTCAGTTTCAATTGTGGAAGGTAGACATCCTAGAGTAGTGAAGAAACACACAACATTCTCAACGAGGTTACACTGAAACAAAGTGACACATACTGGCCAGGTTGCTGCAGCGACCACCGAAATTTTGACATCGTATCGGCCTATGTTACCTTCCAATAGAAGATGCGGAACCTGATATTCCATATACTACTGTGGAGGCTATAATAATAACAATAATAATCATAATAATAATAAAAATAATAAATTTAGTTTGTTGATTTTTGAGCAAAGCGACAAGACACTATGTAAATACTTTAATATTAAGCATGTTAAGCAATATGGACATTAACATTTTGGATCCCTGAATAAAAAAGTTTATTTTTAGTAACATTGAAAAATAAACTTAGCATAGTCTCGCCTAACAGAATCAGAGGAAAATTTGGGTTACGTGTTTTACTGTGTTATTTCCCAAAAATGTTTCTGCACAGGACCAAAAAAAAGTTGAATTTTACACAACCTACATAATATTGAAGTATATATTTAAAAAAAAAAAAACTCAAATAATATTAGCATTGGTGAAACGTTCACCTAGCAGTAAGTACCTGGTTGTTAGTCACCTTACATCTGCTGCCCCCTGTTCACCCACCAGGTACCTGGGTATTAGCCGACTAATGTGGGTCGCATCCTGGGAGAGAAGATTAACCTATGTTGCCAGAAACGTTTTGCATCACCAGGATCTTTCTGCATAGTATGTCAGTGATGTCAGCTGGGTCTGTAATAGTTGTATCATGTACTTAGTAACACAGAGATAAATAATAACATTTCATAGGACTAAAAAATTACTTAGGTGGGCTGAACTGGAATGACCTGACTAAGGGTCAGGTAGGTGGCGATGGTTGCCGATATGACGCTTTCCAGGGCATAGTTCTAGCTGCTCAGTCAAATTATGTTCCAAATAGGGAAATCAGATCAAACAAAAATGATCCTAAATGGATGAACAATAGATTAAAATATCTGATTGGTCAAAAGAGAGGCATATATAGGCAAATCAAAAGAGGAGAGGGGCAATTAAGAAATCGATATATTCAGTTAAAGAGAGAAATAAAAAGGGGAATTAGAAAAGCAAAAAAAGATTATGAGGTTAAAGTTGCAAGAGAATCGAAGACTAACCCAAAAGGATTCTTTCAGGTATACAGAAGTAAGATCAGGGACAAGATAGGCCCACTCAAAAGTTCCTCGGGTCAGCTCACTGACAGTGATAAGGAAATGTGTAGAATTTTTAACACATACTTCCTCTCAGTTTTTACACAGGATACCAGCGATATTCCAGAAATGATAAATTATGTAGAACAGGACGATAATAAACTGCGCACGATTAGGGTCACAAGTGACATGGTCCTTAGGCAAATAGATAAATTAAAACCTAACAAATCCCCAGGCCATGATGAACTGTATGCAAGGGCTTTAAAGGAATGTAAAGAGGAGCTTAGCAAACCTTTGGCTAATCTTTTCAACATATCACTACAAACTGGCATGGTGCCAGATAAGTGGAAAATGGCAAATGTGATACCTATTTTCAAAGCAGGTGAGAGGTCCTTAGCTTCGAACTATAGACCAATAAGCCTAACCTCCATAGTGGGAAAATTTATGGAATCAATAATTGCCGAGGCAGTTCGTAGCCACCTTGAAAAGCATAAATTAATCAACGAATCTCAGCATGGTTTTACAAAGGGGCGTTCCTGCCTTACGAATTTATTAACTTTTTTCACTAAGGTATTTGAGGAGGTAGATCATGGTAATGAATATGATATTGTGTATATGGACTTCAGTAAGACTTTTGACAGGGTCCCACATCAGAGACTATTGAGGAAAATTAAGGCACATGGAATAGAAATTTTTTCTTGGATAGAGGCATGGTTGACAAATAGGCAGCAGAGAGTTTGCATAAATGGGGAGAAATCGGAGTGGGGAAGAGTCACGAGCGGTGTTCCACAGGGGTCAGTGTTGGGCCCCCTGCTGTTCACAATCTACATAAACGACATTGATGAGGGCATAAAGAGCGACATCAGCAAGTTTGCCGATGACACCAAAATAGGCCGTCGAATTCATTCTGACGAGGACATTAGAGCACTCCAGGAAGATTTGAGTAGACTGATGCAGTGGTCGGAGAGGTGGCAGATGCAGTTTAATATAGACAAATGCAAAGTTCTAAATGTTGGACAGGACAATAACCATGCCACATAAACTAAATAATGTAGATCTTAATATTACGGATTGCGAAAAAGATTTAGGAGTTCTGGTTAGCAGTAATCTGAAACCAAGACAACAGTGCATAAGTGTTCGCAATAAAGCTAATAGAATCCTTGGCTTCATATCAAGAAGCATAAATAATAGGAGTCCTCAGGTTGTTCTTCAACTCTATACATCCTTGGTTAGGCCTCATTTAGATTATGCTGCACAGTTTTGGTCACCGTATTACAGAATGGATATAAATTCTCTGGAAAATGTACAAAGGAGGATGACAAAGATGATCCCATGTATCAGAAACCTTCCCTATGAGGATAGACTAAGGGCCCTGAAACTGCACTCTCTAGAAAGACGTAGAATTAGGGGGGATATGATTGAGGTGTATAAATGGAAGACAGGAATAAATAAAGGGGATGTAAATAGTGTGCTGAAAATATCTAGCCTAGACAGGACTCGCAGCAATGGTTTTAAGTTGGAAAAATTCAGATTCAGGAAGGATATAGGAAAGTAACTGGTTTGGTAATAGAGTTGTGGATGAGTGGAACAAACTCCCAAGTACCGTTATAGAGGCCAGAACGTTGTGTAGCTTTAAAAATAGGTTGGATAAATACATGAGTAGATGTGGGTGGGTGTGAGTTAGACCTGATAGCTTGTGCTAACAGGTCGGTTGCCGTGTTCCTCCCTTAAGTCAATGTGACCTGACCTGACTAGGTTGGGTGCATTGGCTTAAGCCGGTAGGAGACTTGGACCTGCCTCGCATGGGCCAGTAGGCCTTCTGCAGTGTTCCTTCGTTCTTATGTTCTTATGTTCTTAAGTGTTCGCAATAAAGCTAATAGAATCCTTGGCTTCATATCAAGAAGCATAAATAATAGGAGTCCTCAGGTTGTTCTTCAACTCTATATATCCTTGGTTAGACCTCATTTAGATTATGCTGCACAGTTTTGGTCACCGTATTACAGAATGGATATAAATGCTCCGGAAAATGTACAAAGGAGGATGACAAAGTTGATCCCATGTATCAGAAACCTTCCCTATGAGGATAGACTGAGGGCCTTGAACCTGCACTCTCTAGAAAGACGTAGAATTAGGGGGGATATGATTGAGGTGTATAAATGGAAGACAGGAATAAATAAAGGGGATGTAAATAATGTGCTGAAAATATCTAGCCTAGACAGGACTCGCAGCAATGGTTTTAAGTTGGAAAAATTCAGATTCAGGAAGGATATAGGAAAGTACTGGTTTGGTAATAGAGTTGTGGATGAGTGGAACAAACTCCCAAGTACAGTTATAGAGGCCAGAACGTTGTGTAGCTTTAAAAATAGGTTGGATAAATACATGAGTGGATGTGGGTGGGTGTGAGTTGGACCTGATAAGCTTGTGCTACCAGGTCGGTTGCCGTGTTCCTCCCTTAAGTCAATGTGACCTGACCTGACTAGGTTGGGTGCATTGGCTTAAGCCGGTAGGAGACTTGGACCTGCCAGTAGGCCAGTAGGCCTTCTGCAGTGTTCCTTCGTTCTTATGTTCTTATTAACCCGCGAGGGTTATGCATCTCAGACTGCTTGAAGTCTCGATCCTCCGTTATTCTGCTTCCTTAGAGTCTTAGATAACAAGCCACCTTCGGTTAGCTCTTAAATGATATGTAATCAAGATATAATTCTTAGATTTTTTTGTGGATATACTCGTGCCTTACACATAATTAACTTGCTTCATTTATGAAGAAATAAGAAATAGTGAACTTGTTCTCTCCGTTAACCAACTATGCGGAAGTAAGACAGTAATCAGGTTACTGGAGAAACGTATGGAACAGTTCATAAAATTAATTAAAATAGCAGTAGGAATTCCCTGATTTCTTTTAGCATCGTTGTGGGTTCGTCTTCCGTTACGAGGCGGCAACTCTATGATGCCACAATTGCGCAACGCTGTAAGATGACAGCACGGCATTCTTTACTCAAATTAACTTAGAGTGCGAGAAATGTATTGCTAGCTGTAATGAAATACAAATAGACACGAGGAATAGAAACTGCTTGACACGCGGAGAATATCCCAGTATAAACGCTACAAAAGATCCTGGAGTGTAGCAACTATTGAGTATTCAACTCAGATCCTAAGTCAGGTTCATGGACCCCGTCATCCCCAGCTCCCCCGACACAGTGTCCTGTATATAAGCCAGGATGCCTTCCTTCCGTGCCTTAGAGATCCGTCAGCAGTAATCTCACTATCACCTTCTCTATCATCATGAAAGTAGTAAGTAATTTGCCTCTGTATTGGTGAATATACTCACAATGTATGTGGTATAACATTGCCTGTGTGGTATAGGGTAATAACCAGCACTACTCTGGCAATACTGCCTACAGTGAGGAGTGTACAAGTAACGGTTCATCATCCTATGACTATGACCTGTCGGGAGATGTCTCTTCTGATGAACTAAGTCAATAACCACCTCGGGAGGCTTATCACTGCTGCACAGGATTCAACCTCTTAGAGTCCGGAACTGTCAGTTGTCATGTTTCTTGTCAGGGAACAGGACAAGTGTTGTATACAACACTTGTCCTGTTCCCTGACAGTTAAGTTATACCATGAATTAAGTTATACCATGAATTAAGGAAAGATCTTGGACTTCACCTTACGAAACAGACAAAGCAAATGCTAAAGTAACTATGGACAAAGTAGATTATAGTGGAAAAATGAACATGTTATTAGAAGACGAGGGAACTTACGTGCCTCTTAACCACGGCTTCATAAAGCCAACACTCGCTATTCTGTCTTATACCACAGCTGCTTGAACAACATGACATCATAAGTAGAGAGAAACAATAAGTGCCCCTTAAAGCGTCTCAAAGGACGTATGTCCTTATGTGTTATGGTCATGTGTTCTGTTGAGGTTGGTAAGGAGACGTTTGAGGGGAGGGTTTATATCAGAATTAAGTGTTCTATGAATGTAGTAGGTGCAGTAATAAGTATGGATGTTTTGAATGGTGAGTAGGTTTAGAGTTTTGAATAATGGTGGAGTGTGCTGTCTGTAGTGGGAATTAGTTATCATTCTGACTGCAGCCTTTTGTTGGGTAATTAATGGTCTGAGATGGTTTATTGTTGTTGAGCCCCATGCACAAATTCCATAGGTGAGATAGGGGTAAATAAGTGAGTGATATGGGGCCCCAGGAGGGCTGACTGTGGAACATAGTTACCGTTTCTTCGATAGTATGCCTACGGTCATTGAATTTTTTTTGGAAATTTGTTGTATATGTGTTTGAAATTTGAGTCTATTATCAAGGTGGATTCCTAAGAATTTTCCCTCTGTGAGTTTTGTGATAGGTGATCCGTTTATCATTATGTTAAGAGGGACGTCTGTAGCTCTGTTACCAAACTGAATGAAGTAGGTTTTGTCAATGTTTAGTGTAAGTTTGTAAGTACTCATCCAGGTAGATATTTTCTGTAATTCGGTATTACAGTATTGGCTAGCGTGACTGGGCTCGGGTGAGAGAAGACGTATGTAGTTTTCATCTGCAAATAGTGTGGGTTTGAGTAATTGCGAAGCATTTGGTAGGTCATTTATGAATACGAGAAAGAGAAGAGGGCCTAGGACACTTCTCACGTATACTCTAAATAACATAAAAAGCCACAATACCGTGACTGGAACAATACACAAATAACCCGCACTTTAGGGAGAGGAGCTTACCACGATGTTTCGGTCCGACTTGGACCATTTACAGAGTGACAAAGTGCCCCCACACTTATGAACAACGGGCATGTGGTAGAGTGTGCAGGTGTTACGGGATATAGGATTACGTCTCTCGGATCATTGTGGCACAATAAACTGATGTTATGGGATAAAGGGATGATATAATATTGATGATAATGATATCGTTTTCTACCAGTTTCATGTACAAGATATACAGACCATACCTGACATCAGTGGACATAATACTATATAGAAACCCGCTTGTTATGCAGAACATTTTCGGGAAAATTATGTCCCGTTTTGTACCAGGATGTGGGCCCACACCAGTCCACTAACACCCAGGTACCAATTTTACTAATGGTGAACATAAACAAGCGGTGTAAAGAAACACATCCAATATTTTTACCCTCGCCGGGAATCAAACTCGGACGCTCGCCGTGTGAAGCGAGAGCTTTAGCCACCAGGCCCCGGGGCACCGTCCCAGGCACGGTGGTACCGTCTCTCTGATCACTGTGGTACAGTGGGGCTGGTGTTATGGGATGTAACGAAACCTCTCACGGTTGGCACTAATTTAATTTCTTTCTCCCCAGACATAGCAGCGGCGGCCTGTGTCTGAGCTGGGGGTGGCCCTGGGGCCCGCCCACCCCTGATGCCTTGCCTTACGCTGTGGCCCCGCCTTACGCCGTGGCCCTGCCTGACCCGGATGCTTTGCTTATCCCCAGCTCTGCCTGACCCCCAAGCTCTGCCTGACCCCGAAGCTCTGCCTGATCCAGAGGCTCTGCCTGACCCCGAGGCTCTGCCCGACCCGAGGCTTTACCTGACCCGAGGCTCTGCCTGACCCGCCCCTGCCTGACCCCACGGCCGATCCTGACGCTGAAGCTAATCCTCTTACCACCGACATGGCTGGGGAGGGTATTGGGGGTTATAGAGGATATGGAGGCTATGGGGCTATGGTGGATATGGGTGGATATGGAGGCTATGGTTTGGGTTTTGGCGGATATGGCGGTTATGGAGGTTACGGCGGATATGGAGGCTATGGTGGCTATGGCGGATATTACTATCGTCCTTACGGTCACCCTCACCATATCATCGCTTTGGCTAAAAAAAAAGCTAACAGAGAATTCTCTCAGTGTACAGACACTGCCAGTGTCCGTTTCACTGATGTACTGACTGGGCAGTGTACAGACACCCGCCCGTGTCTGTACACTGATGTACTGACTGACCCGTGTACAGACACTGGCAGTGTCTGTACACTGATGTACTGACTGACAGTGTACAGACTGGCAGTGTCTGTACACTGATGTACTGACTGACAGTGTACAGACACTGGCAGTGTCTTGTTTCCCCTGATGTACTGACTGAAAAGTGTACAGACACTGGCAGTGTCTGTACAACTCATCCTTCACAATTTTTATTTATTTTATTTTTTTTAAATTTACAGATAATAAAACTTTTTTATACATAAGTTGTTTCTTTTTGTGGTCGTATAAGTCCTCGTGTATATATTATTTATAATATATATATAAATATTATATTATATATTATATTTTATATATTATATATATATATTATATTTATATAATATTATATATATATATGAATAATAATAATTATTGATATAATATATATTAATAATTAATATTATATATATATTATATAATATATAAAAATATTTTTTATAATATATATATAATAAATAGTTATAATATATAAATATATATATATATATATAATTTTATATATTTATAATATATATTTTTTATATATATATGCAATAAATCACATAAACAGGTGATTTCAGAATATGCAAAACAACCAATCTGAAAAATTTGAGAAATTTCAAGCGCTTTGTGACTACTCACATTTCAAGGAATATGAAAGTAAAGCATCCAAGGAACTATATAAGGGGTCTGGCCAACACCTCACTATCAGATCCCACAAACGGTTAAAACACCTGACCCCGCCAGGCCCAACTGGCAGGTCCTTTGCACAACCCACCAACAAACTTAAATTCTACCAAGAAAAATTTTTAAAATTATTAATTTGTCCAGAAAAGTATTATTAAATTCTTCCAAATTCTATTAATTATAAATGGATCTAATATATATATATATATATATATATATATATATATATATATATATATATATATATATATTAATATATATATATATATATATATATATATATATATATATATATATATATATATATATATATATATAATATATATATATATATTGATGGTATTAACAATCCCGTGCTATGTCCTGCTCCGAGGGAAGCAAGTCAAAGTTCACGACGCTCTAATCACTGGACTATACAATCCCACCAACACCATGTACCAAGCGGGACTGGGCGAGTTTCATGATGCAAGGACATACGTGGCCGTGGGAAGCTCAGAGCTAATATTTAATCTGCTCCTGTAAGAATACCAGCATTAACGTGCAGTCTACATATTAATGTGACCACGAAATAAGTGATGGTTGTATGATCCAGTGTTACTACTGTAAACATACTGTGACCAGTTGCTACTTCTGTAAATATACTGTGACCAACTGGTACTGTTGCAGACATACTGTGACCAGCTGCTACTTCTGTAAACATACTGTAACAAGATGGTACTACTGTAAACATACTGTGACCAGCTGGCAATGTTGCAGACATACTGTGACCAACTGGTGCTACTGCGGAAATAAATGGTATAAAATACCGACACAATGGCAATATAAACACAAATGCAGTATAATGTGATCCTTTATTGACTACGTTTCGCCCACACAGTGGGCTTTTTCAAGTCACAAACAGAACTACCTGGGGTGGAAGGAAAGCGAGTATTTATAGTCAGGCTGAGGTCAGGTGAAGAATGCTGCATCTGATGATGTACCGAGTGGGGTTATAGAGTCTAAAAACTTGGGTAGCTTGGAAAGGAGATTGGATAAGTTTGTGAGCAGACCTTCTACAGTGTTCTTATGTGGGATAGCGATGAAGAAGTTTCTTGGCAAGTGGTTCAGCTATGTTATAGAAGCCACTATTCTGGTTGAAGTTGTCGGATGTAGAAATAAGTGATGATTCCAGGATTCTTCGGTATTGAGTGTTGTCCTGTTGTATTGAGTCCTGGCGAACCTATACATGGAACATCTAGAAGCCGAACGTTTCTCCACCATTATTCCTTCGTCTGTCACCTGGCTCCGTTATGTTGACGACATTCTCCTCATAACTCCTAAACGCTTCAACGTTCAAGCTCTCCAAGACAAGCTCAACCAGGTCGAGCCTTCAATCCAGTTCACACTTGAAGAAGAAGTCGACAACACTCTTCCTTTCCTTGATGTCCTGCTCTGCAAAGCTGACCACGAACTTCGTTTTAAAGTCTATCGAAAACCCACCAACCAAAACGATCTTCTCCACTTCTACTCTCACCACGACACCAAAACCAAACGTGGTGTAATTATAGGCTTCTTCCTGCGTGCACTCAGAATCTGCAGCAACGAGTTCCTTGAGGAAGAATGCACTATAATTGAACAAATATTTTCTAAACTCCACTATCCTCGTCACTTCATCAGAG